ACTAAGTTGAGTCATAGATAACTTATGGAAAGGCTGGCTTATTATATACACTGATGCCTCCAAAAAGTCAGGTGAAAGTTGCACTGGAGCAGCCGTTTGGATTCCCAGATACAAAATAATCCTCAATTTTAAATGCCCTTCTATTTCTTCCACTTTTACTGGCGAGGCCACGGCAATTTATGAAGCTTTAATTTATATAGAAGCACACAACCTAAATAAGTCAGTTATTCTTACCGACTCCAAAAGCTGTTTGTTAGCAATTTTGTTAAACCAGTTCCAAAGTAAATATAAGATACCCTTGATCCTCAAAATTAAACACACATTGTACACATGTCATCTCAAGGGTATTCAGGTTTCCTTAGCTTGGATTCCAGGTCATTGTGGCATCAAGGGCAATGAAACAGCTGATCTGATGGCTAAAAATGCAAGTCGAAATGGTTTGCCATGTAATTTAGTTTACTCTTCAGACATAGTGTTACTTGCAAAGAAGAAGTTAAATAATAATTGGAATACATTATGGAAAGCCACTCAAAATATAAAAGGTAAACACTATGCTGCTATACAAGGTGCCATTCCTCCAAAACCATGGTTTTTCAAATTTAATAAAGCTAACAAACAGTCAACATCAACTATCTATAGACTTCGAATTGGCCATGCTTGTACACCAGCACATTTAGCCAAACTGAGGATTAGGGACAGTTCCCTCTGCGAATGTGGGTTAGATGAGGGAACTTCTGACCATATTTTTTTTAACTGTCCTAAATTATCTTCTTCACTCTATGATCACCTCCCTCCTGACATCCCTCGTCCTATAAATTTTGATTCACTTTTAACCTACACAAACACTCCTTATGTATATATTCTGTGTGATTTTATTAACTCTAATAGTATAAAAGTTTAATGTTTGTCAATACTAATATACTAAAGTAGTTATAGCAACTGTGTTTGTCATTTGTCCTAGGTAATTCAACAGTACAACCACTAGTATTATAAGATAAAAAGGAAAATTTAATTGTTTAAATAAAACAAGACACTTGTATTATCACAATCTTCTTTAGTTCATGGGCATAGTATTTGTAACTACTGAGCTTGTACTCAATAAACACTTCCACGCTGACATTGGCGAATAATCAAAAACCGCCATAAAAAAAGAAAGAAGAAGAAGACGAGTGTGAAAAATGTGCTATATACGAAGCAGGCAATTTGCATTTGGCAATTTTTCAGCAGGAAGAAAATGAGTACCGTTTACATACAATTAAGAAAGAAGAAGCCAGGAAAGAAAAGGAAAAGGATAAAGAAGATTCATCGTGCATTGTGATTGCTGCAGATGTGCAAGCTGTTTTGCTTTGTCCTGTTTCCAAAATAAGTACCCTTTACTACAAAACGAAGCTCCAAGTCCATAATCTTTGCTTCAAAAATTTAAAAAATATGGCTGCGTTTTCCTACATCTGGAATGAAAGTGAGGGAGGCGTAAATGCCGAAGAGTTTGCTTAATAATCCCTCTGTTATCTTCTGAATGCAATAGGGTTGTTATTTATACAGATGGGTGTGGCTACCAAAACAGAAAAGCTGTATTATCAAATGCTTTGCTTAATTTTGCTGTCAAACATAATGTGTCTATAGAACAAAAGTATCTAGAAGTTGGCCACACCCAAATGGAAGTTGACTCCGTGCATTCCGCAATCGAGAGAAATCTAAAAAATAAGATTGTCAATGTCCCAGCTGATTACATAAATATTATTAAAAACGCACGAAAGGAGCCTTACACAGTACAATATTTAACACACGATTTTTTTAAAGATTTGAACTGTGTTCAGGCTTATAAAAGTATTAGACCAGGACAGTCAGTCGGTGATGCAAAAGTTAATGATATTCGTGCACTACAATACAGGCCTATAGGAGAAATATTTTACAAGATAAACTTTAACGATCCTTGGACTGTTGTGCCGCAAAGGAGATTAGTCCCGAATTTTCTGTATGATGAACTGCCAGTTTTGCATCAGAACCATTTACCTATCAAGGAGAGAAAGTATCAAGATTTGCAACAAATCAAGTTAGTTCTCCCGGTTGACTATCGCGAATTTTACAATATTAATTAATTTATATAAAAATAAAATTTTAAAAATAAAATATTTTTCCGTTTTTCATATCTATGTTTTTAATTTCTATACCTTTTCTTAAAAATCGTAAATATGCTAACTCCACATAATCTTTGATATATTTGTGATGACTTAGATAGTAATCCTGATATCTCCTTTTTTTGTTATAACTTCTTCAAAATGTAATAATTTATATAGATTGTATCATAAACAAATAAGTAAAATTAATTTTGACTAACGGGATTTTCAATTTTCGGCTGTGAATCATAAAACGAAATATGTAACGTTTTATTGTTCTCCTGAAAATTCTTACGAATGGAGTTACCAGTTTAACGGATTTAAACGACGATATATAACAATAAATAACATAAAATGTGTTTGTTGTAAAATGTGTTGTACATTCTGACATAAAATAACAATAACATTTTATGTCAGAATGTACACTTTACGAAACTTTTTGGTACAAAACGTCATTGTAAAATAGATATCACAATAATAAATAACTTTGAATTAAAGTTCGTTTGTTACCTTAGTTCATTCTACCCAGTGGACGAGTAAAGCACCTAATGCTACAAAGAAAAAATTTGTCACTGTTGGTGCGGGGCGAGGAAACACTACATAGACAGTACTGCACACCTACTCAATTTACTCAAAAAAAATCATTATGGTACACACAAATCTAAATCTCAAGCACTATTACATCTTACGCACACATAAAGTCTAATCAGCATAGAAAAGTTATGAGTGTAAAATGGACAAATTAATTGCGATGCTATCATATTGATGATTTTACATCAATAGTTTCCCTAAGAAAATGAGAAAAACTCATAAGCATTTAGCAAGCTTTTTTTAGAGTTCCATAGTAACGCAACAAAGAGCACTTAAGTTTCGCCAAGTCCTGTCTATCGGTTTGTCTGGGGCTTAGTGCAGAGACTATTGGTATTCTAAAGAGCTGTAATTTGGTATGGTTAAACATGAATACCAGAAATAAAAATGCTCTAAGTACCAAAAACAAAAAGTGGAAGAACTTATGTTTTAAATAATAAGCCATCATTGCAAAAAAAGTTAGTTTTAAAATCGATATTTATATTATTACAATAAATTGCTTTTGTGAAACAAAAATAAATTATCTCAACTTATTAATTAGTGCAAGAAATATAAAAGAATAAAATTAAAGAAAAAATCTTTATTATAGGCTGATCTTAGTGATTGTACAACATCAAAAATGTTACAAGTTTGCAAGAACTAGGAATTAAAGAAAGTAATATTTAAAGAACAGAAAACTGCCCAGAACTAAATATTCCCCCAGAGTTAAGTTATTTCGTCCTAACACTTAATGTACAACATCGAAAAAGTTACAAGTTTGCAAGAAATACGCTTTCAGAGACATCTTTGATAGATAGAGAAAACTAACAGGTCCTAGAGAAGCTACCATTTTTTTAAATATCTTTTGATTGGAACCTTTTCATTTTTTTGGTTTGGTTGTCAATTTTCATCTTCATTTTCTTTTTTTCGGTGATAGTTCGATGCTTGCGTGCTATAAAATCTTCTTTAATGAATAATAATGAAAATTTATCAATATTGATCGCCACATCACAGTCAAATCACATATCAATATGACACCATTTTCAATTAAACACTTAACCCTGTAGTGTTCGTGTGGATCACAATAGTAATCCACTGTAAAATAATTTCAAATTTAGATATTTAAATAATTATTAGAAATAAATATTTAGACAGATTTGTGATCTAACTTTGATATAAATATTACATTTTCATATATTAAAATGTAAAAGCATTTTTGAATATTATAATATGAATAAAAAAAGGATATTTCTGTTTATTAAATATGATTAACCATTGACTATATGTTACCCTGTTTCATATTCAAAATAAAATAAAAATACATTTTAGTTGAATTTTTTAAACTTTCTTCTTACTTTAAATTTGACTACATACGTAATCAATGCGACCATTTACATAAGGCGTGACCACTGCAGGGGTAAGAATAGTCTAGTTACACTTGTATAGTTTATATGTTGCAAATATAAACTAATCTCCTAAGTAGTGCGGTTGTGCTTGCGTGTTCAATTTTAAACCTAATTTGTAAAATCTGAGAGTTGAATTTAAAAAAAAAACTAATCTCGTGGGGAATGCGCTTGTGATGTTTCGATTATCACTACGATTTTTATGAAATATTATGTACTCGATTACTTTGTCCTTAAAATTCTCGATTATTATGATATTATTTTAAATGACGATAATAGAAAGAAACCTTATATCACAATAAAAATACTTACATATGGAATGTAACTCCATCTTTATGTAAATTTGAATTATTCGACCTATTTTTGCACACATTAACCGCACAGATTGGCATTTTTAAAGAGCACCTACAAATACGGAAACAATTCTTGTAAGGATAAAATCGATTTCGTAAACAGTTTTTATAAACGCACAAGATTTTTAAATCCAATACTTGCGCAGAGGGGAATAGTCATGCGAGGCGAGTCAATTGGGTTGAATGAATTTGAAAAAAAAAAATGGTCTAAGTTTGTGACTGGCGGATTGTCATCAAAGTGATATTGTGGTATTTATATACATTTCTTAAGTGACCTGCATAAGACATAATTTTGCAGGATAATCTTTTCTGCAGGCAAAACCTATCAACCTCAAACCTCATAATATCACTAATAACATTAATGGTACCCCCATTATATATTAATGTTATTAGTGATATTATGAGGTTATGTTATGCTTTTAAAGTAATCTAAATTAGACATTTTGTCTGCACATTTTTTTTATCTACTGGGAGGCCTTTGTGCAGCAGTGGACTTATAACACTAATGGGACCTTAGATAAATAACTTAAAATAAAATTATAGTATTCTTTATTTTTCAGGTATGGAAGAGAAGAGATGTTGGCTTTATATGACAGATCAGCGGAAGCACCCGAGGAGTTAAAATACTTAGATTTGCTGTATCAATCAAGAGGGAAACCTCCTGTAGCTTTGAACAATACATTTGAGGAAGAAATGGTTATTATCATCATTTGTTACTTTTATATTTTTAGGAGAGGGAGTGGTGGCAAGTTATTTCTATACTTTATGTTGGGAACATAAGTGAGCATGAGGAGACTGATGCATAGTCATTATAGTCTCAATGTATAATAAAAAAAGGTGAAAGAATTACTGTGAAATTACCGTGCCTGCTTAGCATTGTCAGAAAACTTTATGCAAAGGTGTTGTTTGAAATAGCTATAAAAGAACATGACAGAAATTTAAAAAAAAATTTAGAAAGGGAATGTGATATACGGATCGATTTTTTTCAATGCGCATGATCACTAAGAAGTTCTTTACCAAAAATCAGTAAGTGTCTGTGCATTTTTAGAAAAAGATTTTGGCAAAATTAAAAATGTTACTTCATGGCTAACGCTGACCTCATTTTTGAGTTGAGGTTGGGCTGACACATGTGCTAAAATCTCTTAATAGGGATTAGTGCTTGTGTCAAGATCAACTGGGCCTATACAGACATTTTGGCATCCTTAAAGATATCAGAAAAGGAAATGATGCTTCCCTGTAGCTATTCAATCAGTTTATGGACATTGTTTGGAAAATATGAAAGTCGAAGAATATGGGTTAAGAATGTGTGAGATAACAGTCAAATCCCCCTTGTTAGCCCACAATCAAGTCATATTTGTGTCATCTGCTGGTGAGTTGCAAATGATGTCACGTTCATAAACAGTCCATTATTAGAAAGTGGAATGAAGATGAAAGTGATGGTTTTAGAAAGAGAAGAAAATAAAACTGTGTGTGACATAAAAGGGTGACAAACGAACACACAGTCCACCTGATGGTAAGTGGATGCTATGACCCATAGACCTCTACATTTATCTTCTATTAAAAATCAAAACGCAGACATGTTGTCACACCTGAGGACTAAGATGGTATACCTCGTATCCAGTAAAAATGGGTCTACGGATTTCTCCACTCACCATAAGAAACACAGCAATATTAAGCTGCTATTTTACGCTGGTATTCTGTGAGAGCCGACTCATTCAGGCTACAACTAGAATATAGCTGCAGCGTTGCTCTACCACATACCCTGTTCTATAAAGAAAACATGAGTAAATGGGGGGTTGGTTAAGCAAATGGATGAGTTCCACCAATGCACGCTTCAGTAAAGCTTGACGGTCCACTACTTTGTGATCTATATACTAGGAGTTTTCCTCATGCTACTTCTTACGAGCTTACTCCTTTTAAAAGGCTGGTAACACACCTGCAATCCTATGGTGTTGCAGTTGTTCAGAGGCGGCGGTCAATACTTACCGTCAAGTGAGCCACATGCTCATTTGGCCCCTCTTCTATAAAAAAAGCTTGTGTATCTAGGATGTGTGCTTAGCAGGGATGGTAGAAATACAAGAATATAGAACAACAAGTAAATGCAGGACACGATAAATGTGACTACACTCTATTTTGGAAAGTCAGAATATGACATAAATATCACATACGTCAATTCACAGTGTAATAAAATATGGGTGTTGCAGACGAAACATAAAATTAGAATTAATTCTGTACAAAATACAGTAATTTAACAATATTTTAGGGATGGTTCGGTTGTTTGGATAATGAAAAAGTGACAAAGCAAATTAATGCTATATTACATACATTAATGCTATAATGTATGTAGATGGAAATTTATCAACCAAATTGACAATATATTGAAGATGTACCAATGAGTCAAATTAAGAGTATCCATAACCGTTGATGTGTCAGGATCATGCTAAAGGGAAGCCTGTAGTATTTCATTAACTTTTAGAGCTATTTTGCAGTTATATCTTGACTGCAGCATAAATGGGTTGGCTTGACTAGGGGAGGAACACACTCACAAAAAATACTAGTTTAATATTGAATTTAAACTACTTCTATAGGTTATTTAATAATTAGCCACCACAACATGACAGACCAAATTGCATCCACATCTCATCATCCCTTCATCACATCATCATCATTACAGCCCTTCACAAGTTCACTGCTGAACATAGACCTCAAGGAATGCCACAAAGCACGGTCCTGAGTCAGCTGCAGCTATCGACTTTCTCCATGTCTTACCAGGTCCCCACTCCTTCTAGTGAAGGGGTCACCCTACACTTCGCCTACCAGTACGAGGATGCCATTCAAGGACCTTTTTCCCCATTGTTTGTCAATTATTCGAGCTATATGGCTGACCCATTGCCACTTCAGCTTATTTATCTATTGGGCTATGTTGGTTACTGATTCTACTGTGATCTTTATTTCTAAGTTTATCATACAGAGAAGCTCCGAGCATAGCTCGCTGAGCAACCTTGAGCTTTCTCATACGGCCAGCAGTGAAAGACCATGTCTCAGATCCCTAAGTCATTACTGGCATCACGCACTGGTTGTACAATCTCGTTTTCAAATTTTGAGGTATACCTGACGAGATGTGTCGTAATTTCCGGAACACTGCCTGGCAGAGTTGAATCCGTCAATTGACCTCTTGGTTGAAGTTGGACTTACCTAGTCAGATTTGGTCCCTGGTAAAGATACTCGTCAACAACTTCGAACATAGTGGCAAACCACTATCGGCATTAGTGTGACATGGACATTGCATTTGACCATGCACCCCACATCTATCATTTTTTAATTATATTTGAGTTATAAACAAGCTGATAGTCCAACAAATGGTCAATGATACTGCAGCCAGTTAACACCGCAACTTACTTCATTTATATATATATATATATATATATATATATATATATATATATATATATATATATATATTTCACTTTATGATGATGAAGATGCCTTGTGCTTAGCTTATAAATGCATTGCCTCTCCGACCTCTAAATAAGATTACAGTGGAATCATTCTGCATAAATAAGCAAGAGGGTGGCTGAGGCTTCACTTACTCAAATGGGGTGAGTACAAATCCAAGAAGAAAAAGAGCATCTGTTTAGTATTTAATTATTCTTGTTAAACTTCTTGAATTATTTACCTTTTTTCAATATTGCACCTCATAACAAAAGGTTTTAGGGTAATTAATGTTATAAGTTCTTAATTTTAACTTTTGATGCAATTTTTAAATTTTGTACATTTACTGCTCTCAAAAAAGGACATTTATAATTTAAATTTTAACAAATATTAATTAAAAATACTTTATACAGCGGGACAATATCCGTGGAGGTCCACCTATTGGAGCTATGGCACCACCAGAAAGATTTGGTATAGGTCGTGGCATGGGTCGTGGCTCTACCAGTGAGAATCGTGGACGTACTCGCATGCCATTTGTTCGCCAAACATCATCAGGGAGGTAAGATTGATAAATGTACTATTTTTCATCATTATTACAGCCTCTCACAAGTCCTCAGCTGAACATAGGTCTTCCCCAAAGATTGCCACAAAGTACACTACTGAGCCACTTATATCCATCACTTGTGTGTTCTATCAGGTTGTTACTTTATGTGTGGTAGACCTTGCCAGTATGAGGCTGCCACACCGGAGTAAAATCATAAAAATTTAATTAGGCAGGTGATTTTTGTATACAGTTTGTCTTATAAGGATATTTATAAGTTTATTACTTTTTAGTGCTGATTTTAAGTGTTATTTGTTGGATTTATTGTGTGTTTTATAAATTAAAGTTGTTAATTTCATTACTTTTGCATAAAATTATGAATACTAGTGAAACTAAGGCACTTCTTAGCCTCATGTCATGAGTCTTTATTAAATTTCACTACTAAAGAACTGCGCAAAGATGACAATAGTATGCCAAGAGTGGAAACAATGTCTACTGGAAATTGTTAAACCATACACAGTGTTGGATCATTTATTTGCCAGATGCTTAGTGAAACATTCACTATGGGAGTGAATATTCTGAGATTAAGTGGTTGTAATAGTTCTTAAAGTTTAAGAAAAAGATTAGACAATTCCAAAGAAAATAGAGTTTTGATTACTTCATCTATTTTGGCGATTCGGTAAAATTCGCTATCATCATCATTGTTACAGACCTTCACAAGTCCACTGCTAAACAAAGGCAACAAAGCACGGCCCTGAGCCACCTGCATCCATCGACTTATTTTTTTTTAAATTTGTTTTCTGTTATTGTCTTGTAATAAACTAACAAAAACCGACTAAGTACGTGTTGGCCCATGAGAATGTAGGGTCCAAAGTTGTCCATCACAATACATGAACTTCAAAAGGAACCTTCTTGATATTAACTATGAGCATATTAAGTGAGTTTGTGGTTTGAGCCCTATATCGACTCTGACTGGGAGTGGTGTGAACTGAACACCAGGTGCTTGGGACCTACAAATGGCCACCTATACCTAAATAAATAGAAGGAACTTTACGGGTAGGTGTCTACCCGTAATGTCCATTCTATTTATGTACCGTAATAATGCCATCATCATTCATCATTGGTCCCTTCAGAGGTCCTGAGCCACAAGCATTCATCAACTTCCTGCATGTCTCACCAGATCGCCGCTCCATATAGTGAAGGGACATCTTACACTTCGCCTGCCATTAGGTGGCTGCCATTTGAGAACCTTTGTTCCCCATCAGTTATCGGTTCTTCGAGCTATATGGCCGGGCCATTGCCACTTCAGCTCACTAATCCGTTGGGCGATGTCGGTCGCTCTGGTTCTACTGCGGATATCCTCATTCCTAAATTTATCACGCTGAGAAACCCCGAGCATAGCCCTCTCCATAGCTCGCTGAACGACTTTGAGCTCTCTCATACGGCAAGCAGTGAAGGTTTACCATAGCCCGGCTCCTTCAGTTTTAGGATACTATGTTTTAGGTAGGCCTCTGTTACTCTTGCTACCTGCGTGAAATAGTTACCTACAATCGCGAGACGGCCCGGGCGACAAACGCAATCGGGGATAGCGCGTTGTAGGAGATTAGTTTTTTGTTAACATTTGTTGAAATAGTTTTTGTTTAGCGTTTAGTATATTTAATTGTAGGATAAAATAGTTGAAAAAGTTTGTATTTAATAAATTATAATGGCAAAAAGTCTTTACTACTATAATTGTTGCGTGGATGGATGCTTAATGACCAACAAAAGGTTTCAGATATATCATTCTTTAAGTTATCGAAGGATTATATTAGGAAGTTATGAAAGGTGAATTTATTTCATATTTATTTTTTGTTAAATAGTTACATATAGCGAAAAAAGAGTTAAGCAATAATTTTACTACGGAAGTTATTATCTAACTACTTTATTGAAATTTGCTTCACTATCCAACTACCTATTTTTACACCTATACTTATCTTTTGTAATTAAAATAAGTAGAATATCGTATTCTATTATTATACATTTCATTTAGGAATCATATTTCGGTTTTATTTGTTGTTTACATTATTTACCTATTTCTTCCGAACGGTCTTGCAAGTTGTATTCGTTGGGCGTCACAGAACCGTAGTAAAATCAGAATAGTAGGCTATCTTTTAAGAAATGTACCGAACGCCGCTAATATGTGTGCGTGCCTGTCACGTGCCAGTACGGACTTGTACATACGAGCCACAGCACGCACACGACGACACTTGCTAAGTCGGGAAGATCGGGCCGAGTTGTGGACGCCCACTGACGCACTCGGCAATTTTGAAAATTAAACCTTTGTTTGAGACTTGAATTTTGTTAAATTTTGCTAGCAGTAATATTTTTCCGTTTTATTTTCTTTTTGTTAATTAAAAAGCGGTCTAGGTGTGACCCGAAAGGTCCACACGACTAACTTCCCAGTGGAAAGAATAAAACAAATATCATATGTTTTAATATTTTATACAATTTTTCATTCGGTACAAAAAAAAGACTTGACCGATTTTGCTCAAAATTTAATGAGGTCTAAGTTACATAATTATGCATTAAATGAAAATGGGTACCATGTCAATATCACTCGTTGTTCTCGAGATACACGAGGCGAAAATTGAATCCGTGATACATACACATATACATATGTACATATGCATACACGGACATCCTCTTAAAAAATACTATTCGATTCTAAAAACCTTGAAACATGGAGATATGTTATTACAATAACTTCCCACTGGGAAGTTAATTAATGTATTAGTTTGTTTAAGTAAATTAGCTTTTGATTAATAGTTTATATTACTTTATCTATACATAGATGCATACCTCATAAGTACAATAATTGTCATATCACATCAGATGAAATTAATTTTAAACATAAAATCTGAACTTACACCATATGCTCAGAGTTAATTTACTCGTATTGGGTTATTTGGCATTTGTTGTAATGTATGTATAGCTTGAATTTTTTTGGACAAACATTGATTCTTTGAAGGAAACTAAAGAAATGATTAACAAATATGATGCATAGGTACGTATTCGTATGTATTATGTTTGTAAATATTATAACTATTTATAAACCTAAATGAGACTTGCTGTTAAACAAAAGGACAGTGACAACCCTGCAACCGTAGGCGTTTAAGTATCGCGCGGTGCGGCAGTGATCCTACTATTCTGTTTTTACTATGACAGAACTCGCATAGTAGCGAAAATATGGTCAGTCAATCATATTCAGAATAGGTACCTTACCTAAGTTACTTATTACCCTTTCGCAATGTATTTTTTTACTCTTTATTGACAGCCCTAAGTAACCACGGAAAATTCGCCGTGACATAGGAAAGGGAATAGATGCAAAGCAATATGGACACTTACGCGCAGCCATAGACTTTTATTTAGCTTGCGTGTGCGATTTTTCTACTATTACTATTATTTATTCTGTGGGTTTGATCCGATTTACGCAGAATGAGCTTATAGTATCTTGAAGTCTTGCAAGTCTTGATTTAATTTTATTAATTATAGGATCCCAAACAGATTGCAGCACTAACCCATTTTCTCTGATGAAATTAATAAGTTTTTTAATTTCAGTAGCCTCTCAAATCATCCTAGGTAGGAATCGGTGTTCTTTTGCGAGGATGTGTGGTCTATCAAATTTTATGTAATGACGGGGACGATCTTGAACATGGTCACAGACTGGTGACTTCCCGGAGCGTCGGTGCTTCACGTCAGCTATATGTTCTTTTACGCGGATTTTTATAGATCTTTTTGTTTGTCCGTGCGAATGCGAACACAGTGTTTCCGAGTATCCTATACCCTAGGTTGAATTCTTTATGTTGGATGAACGGAATATATCTGTTTTGACGAAGTTAAGATTTTCTTATTTGTCACACAAAATTCAATCGAATGATTATTTAGTTCAAAATACTAAAAGTCGATGGTTGCTGGTGGCTCAATGCAGTAATTTGTGGCAATTTAATCAGTAATGTAAAATTAAAATCACTCCTTTAAGTATTCATTATTTATATTTCGTTGCTATACAGGGGCAATTCGTGGCATGGGAACACAAGATTACCAGGGTATAACAATGCCACAGAGGAAGACACAAATCCACTTCGACCTTGGGGTGCTAGTAATGGAAATAATTCGTCACTGAGAGCCAACACTGAGCAACCAGAATGGACTTCAAATAAAGTATTTCGGAGGTATGCATATTATGATTATAATTGAGTTTTGAGTGTTGGTATGTTGAATCTTAAAGTTTTACTGTTTTACGTACTGTTTCAACACTCAACACAGATCTTAACCAAGCCCCAAGATACTGAACGTATGTGATGACATAGTACTTACGACCTTATAACATATGCTTTACATTATCAGGTGAGTGCCTCTGCGCAATACCGAAAATTTAAAGATACCCCCGGTATATAACCCCGGATACACTAGGGGACATTTTGTTCCGCAACATGACGCGGAACACTCAATATACGTGACTATGCCACGTTGCACATTGACCCGCAACATGGCCTGAAACATTTTACGTGACGCGGGACATGTGCGCTCGCTCTCGGAGCGAGAACATGCAACATGTCAATTTTTCTTAGGAGTAAAGCACAAATTTCCGAAGCTATTAAGAGTTTTTTTATATATTTTTTAAAGGTTCTTCTACATTTTATTAAAGATTTTATTATTTTTAAGTGGTCTAAAGAATAATATCACAAGTTTAATTTAATATCATTTAAGCAGTTATTATAGTCATTATAATCTTCATTCAATATTCTTCCTGAAAATGTATGGATGATTTTATACAAGTTATTTAATAAATAATAGAATTAGTTGATACAGTTCAGCCGTTTTCGAGAAATCGGGAAACATACTAAAAAATGAGTCGAATATATAACTTTATTTTATGAACTTGTTAAGCATTGAATGTAAGCCACATTTACATTCAATAAGAGTCATATATTACATTTTATATTGGCAAACAGGCGATGCGACTGCGAATAAACTGGTGCGTTCCAGATATGAAATTGAACATTGTGTGGTCCGCTATCATAGGAAGTGAGGGCTAAATAATAATACAATGTATAAAAAATATCATAATTTTGAGCATTGAAAGCATGGTTAAAAATAAGATAAACTTATTATTTTTTATTACTTGAGTTTTGAATATTATGTATTTCTTTGAATATAATGAAGTGTAAAACAGTATGTAATAAGCTGCTAAATTTAGAACTAGATGAAGTTCAAATTTTTTTTAAAGTTAGATCGAAATGGTACTCCGAACATTTTAAGCTTTTTCATCTTGTAAAATTGTAAAGTAAACTTTACAATCTTTACTAAGTTTTCAAACATAATCTCAAATACTATTCTTGTTTTCGAAAGAACAGCAGATTGCGTAGTATGTTTGATCAAAATTACAGCATACAATTTTCAGTAAGCACCCCCCAGAACACCTTGAATTTTCATTTAGGTATAATCACTTAATTTTGACGTTTTAATTTTAAATTTTAAAGTTATACAATCTATTTGATTTATGATATTCCTTATCTTCCCCCGTAAACTCTTACATGCTATTAGGGGTTGGTTTTCCAATATATGTCGGTCAGTTGCTTTCTATTTTTATGTGTGTAAACATGTAGATAATCTGCGAAGTAGAACCTCTTTTTACATGTGACACTTGCAATTATTTTTTCTTGGTTGCAATAATTAATTTTGACATTTAATTTTTGTAGACGGCAAGCTAATAACACTAATTGGAGGCAGCCACATACACGTGATGAAGGTGATGAATGGCGATCATCAGATGCAGCTCGAAGTCGTACGTTTTCCGATTTAGCTTTATTAATATTTCATATATTATCACTTTTTAAATTCCACATCTGAATAGTTCATATTTTGTGTTTGGTATTTTATCAAGTGGTGCTTCATCATCATTTTAAATTTAGTTTTATTTCTGAAACATAATTTGTTGACTGCTGCCAAAATTTCTTATGTTGGTACCTGTATTATTTATAATATTCGTACAAGAGTAGTACCAGCCTCAAAAATGTATGTTTTCAGATCGAGAATGGGGAGAGAGACCAATACAAGATAGGCCACAGTCGTGGAATTCAAATCGTCGTACATGGGTTGGAGGGGAGGGTAATAATGACGACAACCTACCAGAATGGTAAGTATCAAAACAATATTGAAAATGTTGCCATTTTTGTATTATTAAACAATCTCAGTATAGACGGGAACTTAGTTTAGTTTAGTTTACGACAAGCTGTTTTACGCAACTCCACGTCTAAACGCGTATTTTGCGTGTGGGCAGGAATAATGTGGTTATTCGAGCCATGATTTTTTTTGGACGGCAAAATGCAGTCCTCTTCGTCGCTCAGTGAGCTGCCGCTGAGCTCAGTTTCCACTGGGAGCTACGGTTCGGTTTTGCAGGCCGTTTTTTCACTGGACTTGGCATCCAGTGATTTTGATGTACCGGCAACCATTGCCACAGTATCCATGATTGCCGGGTTCTTTTCTGCCTCTTTGCCTGGTCTCTCAAATCTATGTCATCATCGGTAACGGGCTTTGGTTGGCAATCTTGTTTTCAAGTTAAGACTATTATTCCCAGGTCCCAGGTAAACATACTCGTCGATCACTTCGATCGTAGCGCTGCCAACAATCACCGGTATAGGTGTGACATGGAAGTTACGCATGAACTTTGTTTTGTCCATGTTCATCTGAAGACCTACCTGTTGAGAGACACTATTGAGGTCATTGACCATAGTCATATATGTGCAGCGATTCTGAAATAAGGATATCGTCGATAAATCGACGATGCTCGATTTACTCGCCATTGATGTTAATACCTTAGCCTTAAAGGCTGGATATTCCAGTCCAGTAGTTTGAAAACGTCTTCCAGTGCAGAATGGTGAAGAGTTTTGGGGATATAACGTCACACTGTCTTGCACCTCTCTGCAATGAAAAAGGTTCTGTACTAGAATAGTCATTGTAGCCCAACTGTTCAAACAATTCAGCACTTCGATATATGTACAGCCAACTTGGCACCGATCAAATTTCGATGCCATCAAAGGCTTGCTAATAGCCCACATACGCAAGACAAATGTATTTTTCGGGACAAGAGGCAAATTGTATTCTTCGGTCTTATGTATTTGACTGGTTTGTTCGTTGTTCATTAGGTCTTGAGCTTTTACATTTGGCTTTTTCTGGCAGACATATCTCTGGTTCTGGATCAGATACGAATTATATTGAAGTTGCGTAAGTCCCGCCGCATGCATTTCGAGCGCATAACAGCGTATGTGAACTCTTAAAAGAATGAAACAGGTGTGCCAATAGTGAATGGTAAATAAACTTCAAACTATTTGGTACGCTTATATATTTAGAGATACTATCAATATCGACTGTCAGCAGACTTATGTTGGTGTCAAAATTTCCTAAAACATCCTATTTGTTTCTAACAGTTAAAACCTCTTATCTCACCGTAAACAACATTGCATACACAGCTGTGTTTCGGTCTGAAGGGTAGCCAGTATAGTTAAAAGGCGGTGATTGTTTGAAGTTGGTTGCAGGTGTCCATGGATACCAATAGCCACTTATCAGGTGGACCGTAGGTTCATTGGTCACTAAAATTTTATTAAAAAAAGTGTTTGTTGCATTATTTTGGCTGAAAGCCTTGTAAAATATGCCGCATTAAATAAAAAAAGAATATTGAAACTGATAGGATTTAATTTATATATGTATACATATAAACCAGTGGTTGCCCAGTGGTCTAAATGTGATCTTTATTAATTACATATTTAAGTTTGTTTATTAAGCAAGCTATATTTTAAGTTCAACTGCACATTAATTAATAAATTAATCATCAAATAATCATCAAACAGTTAACAACTGATGCACTTTAACGTAATTTAATTTAAAACCTATTTTCATAATATTTTTATTTTACTTACCTCTAAAATTTTCAGAGTGGGTAGAGCTATGCGGCAGTTATATTACTAGTATAATTGTAGCATGAATGGGTCGGCTCAACCAGGGAAGGACCACGCTCTGACAGAATACCAGCATGAAATAGTAGCTTAATGCTGCTGTGTATCGTATGGTGAGTGTAGAGAACCGGAGACCCTTTTTACTGGAAACGAGTCATTCCATCTTAGTCCTCACGGGTGACAACTGTACGGTGATAGATGTAGATGTCTATGGGCCGCAGCAACCACTTACCATCTGGTGGAATATGTGCTCGTTTGTCACCCTATCCTATATTTTTTTTTAATAAAGTGTGGTTTTTTGTGTTTTCAAATTATTATAAAACGAAAAATATTTATAGGGCTGTGGATAATGCGGAGGCCGGCGCAGGTACATTTGATTCTACAGGGGCATTTCACGGCTATAGTAATGACGACAGTAATTTACCTAAGACTCAGGACTCATCATTTCGTAAGTGTGCAAATAGTTTTTCAATGTAATTTCATTTCTATTCCTATATTTAATTGAAATAAATTTTACTTAGGACTATTGGAAATATTTTCATCGAAAATAATGTTATTTTTGAGGCACAGTAAAATTAGAAAAAAAAAAATCAACCTTTTGAGTTAAATAGTTAAATTGATTGCATGGATTTTATAGAATTATTGACATTATGTTGAAAGGAAACACCATTGTTTTTAGTCGACAAATACGAATGACGATTTTTTTTACTTTAATAAAGTTTTTAAATTCAAATATTGAGCAATCATTGTCGTTTAAGCCTATCCTCTGCTACGGTACTGGCTATGACGCAATATGTATATACTAATTATAATCTACTTCTAATGTGAAGATACAGCAATTATTGTTTTAAAAAAATATTTTTATAGTACACGGTGACTTAAAACTACGTTTAAGTCACGCTCATGTGGGACTTAACCAGCCGATTATTGTACGGTATGTTTTATTTAAGGCACTAATAAAAAAAATTAAACATTTATTGAAACATAATAATAAATACGGTACAATAGAACTTTAATTAGTAACATTAATAGAATACTTTAAATTACAAACATTAAATCCTTTGATCAAGAGATATAAAATAGAATACTAGATATAAAGTCATTTTAAATTTTTTGTACATTTTTGGCTTGAGCTGTATTTTTTTAAGTACAATTATTAAAAATACTATTACTATTACTACCATTTACCATCAAATTACAATTGCTAAAAAAATTAGACCGTTGTGAATTCAGGTTTGGTAAATCATTTACATAATCTTCACTAACATCTGGATCATGCAAAACTTCTGTAAATCTAGTCCCGTTGCACCTTTGGTAGTGTTTAATTAAATCTTTACATTAATGTTGTAATTTTTGTTCTGAAACTTTGAATCTCTGTATTTACTAACAAAACGTCTTCATTTGGACGTGATATTGATATTTTAGATCTGCAATCTTCAGAAAAAACATTTTTGTTTGATTTTAATAATTATTTTTAATGCTTTACTTGTATTTGGATTAAAGTCAAATTTTCGTGGATTTAAGTCACTTGTACTATAAAATATGTGTGAAGTTAGCGTACGAGTAAAGTGAGTTCAATAATCGGCTACTTAAATCCCTTGATATTTTTTATACAAATGTGTACGATGTGCTATTTTTTTATTGCAGCTCTAGCGCGTTCTCATACACATGGCAGTTTCGCGCGTTCAAAACCTGTTGAGGAAGGTTCGGAAGAGTGGTGGGCCTCAGAAAAAGCTAAAAAGTTGTCCCCAAAAAGGTTTGAGGCTAGCGATACCAAATTTAAAAAGGTACATTTTTAATGCCATGATTGTTTGAATGTAATATACAACATACATATATATTACAACATCATATTTATTTCAGTCACAAAATGCTGGAACAAGTAAAGCGAGTACTAGCAAAACAAGCACTCAAAACTCTAAAGGGAATGTAGATAAAGATGAGGCATCCCATGATTCACCAGAGAATTCAGAAAAAACCGCAACTGCTCCTGAACCCTCTGAAAATAAAAACACCAGTAATGACAAAAAACTAGCTTTAAAATCTAAATTTTCGGAGAGTAAAACTTTTGATTCCCTAATGCGGTCAGATATTGATATGGAGGAGGTCCGTGAAGAGAGAGGAAACTTTCAGTCTGTAATGATCACAGCAAATAATAGCCTGCGACAGAAACATCAGAATATTGTTGCTTCAGTCTCTGAAAATTCATCGAGACAGGGCCGCATTCCTGTTTTGCAAATGTTACATGCAATGCAACCAAATGATGAGTAAGGTTTTTTTATTGCTCTAAATACTATACTATTATAGCATTTAAATAACTGATCGTTGACAATATCATTAATGAATTATATTGATGGCCTCCGGGGCAAAAAGGCTTAGCATTAACTTAATGGCTTAGCATTAATTCAAAATGGCGCTGAGGATCGTGGGTTCGAATCCCGAACGGAAAAATATTTGTATGAACTATAAAAGCGACAGTAGCCTAATGGCAGGACGCGGACCGCGAACTCAAAAAGATCGTGGGTTCGAATCCGCCATTCCACTACTGGCGTGAACCGCTCGTAACACAAGCAATTTAAGCTTACCACGAGTGGTTAAGGGGGAATATTAGTAATGTTTACAGCATTGTTAATATTCTTTAAAAAAATAATAATTGTTCCAGGTCTGGATGTTTGTCCTTGTTCAAATTATGTATGTAAACCGCTTTCACAGTACATAATATGAAAACCCTAATCAGTGTATTTAAGCAGCTATAACCCCAAAGATATTTTTATTTAAAAAAAAACACATATACTTCCTTGACCTAAAACCCTCTCAGAAATGAGCGGAAACCTGTAACCAGCAGTGGGACGTATATGGGCTGTAGCTTTACTTTTTTTTACTTTTAGTGTCTTTTATGCATTTAATTATTGTTTATTTAATTTTTCAGTGATTGCCAACAAATACCTGCAAAACTCGTGGAGGATATCTTTGATATGAACCTAGAAGATGCTAAGATATCAACTTCTTGTGTCACATCAATCAATTCAAATGATTCTAGTAGTCAAGCAGATCATAGACTATCCAGTGTTGGCATGCCTATTAGTATTCCCAGTGCTGGTATGACAAATCATGGTTTGACAATGAGTTCTGCATCTACAATGTCAACATCTGTTCTTCAAGGTGCCGCATTACCAACACCTGGTATGCAAACAGGTGGCTTGCATGCACCTGGAATGCAGACAGTGGGATTGCAAACAGGAGTGATACAGTCAGGTGTAATGCAATCGGGCAGTATGCAACCAGGTGGAATGCAACAAGGCGGAATGCAGCCAGGCGGACTGCAATCAGGTGGAATGCAACCAAGTGGCATTCAAGGGGGAATACTACAACCAGGTGCAATGCAACCGGGGGGGATCCAAGCTTTGCAAGCAGCGGGCTTACAAACTTCTATGCCGACTCCAGGCTTACAGAATGTTGGAATACCAAACTCTGCTCTTAATTCTTCTCTAGGGCTTTCACTTGTTTCTGCAAATAATGGTTTGATGTTACCAATGCAAAGAGTTCAGCAATCGGCTATGCCTAGTACACAACTCTCAAATTCTGGATTAGGAGCAGCAGGCTTGCAGGCACGTGGGACTGTGTTACCTGGGTTTCAACCAAGCAGTGGATTATCTGTGATAGCTGGCGCTAATGTAGCAAATACATCGCTGTTTCTAGGTCAGAATAACAATCCAGTGAGTATATTTATATCATTTAGAAAATACAATGGTTAATTATTATTTTAATTAATAAACAATAATATCCGTAAGAAAAAACATAGAAAAAAATATTAATCAAACTTTAAATTTTCTTCCTTCATTCCTGATCTATACTTTTTTCGAAGTATGGATGAGCCTCATCGAGATAGCAGTGCAGTCAGCAGAATTTGTAGCTAAATAGTTGCTAAAAAAACGAATTCGTAATTCGAACCACGTCTACAAAAAACAACTTAGTTCTGTCTTTACATCAAGCTAGCAGTAATAAAATAAAGTAATGTAATCAATGGCGTCTAATAATAATAGCTCAAATTTTATAATGAACAAATTTCTTGATTAAAAACTGTAAAAAAAGACTCCAAAAATTGTGTAACCTAGCAACTGGTAACTAAAAACCAGTATAAATGCTATCTATAGTGCGCAGTTTTTATAGACAAGAGGCTGTTATAGTTTTTTTTTTTTGGATTTTGAGAAATGACATTGTGGATGCACAGACAGCCGGCAAAAAAATAATAGGTAGAAACAAAAATTCGACTACATGGTAATAACCGGTATCTAATACCCAGTATCCATGCTACAGTAACACGCGGTTTTTAAAGATAAGATGCAGGCATAGTTTTTGTTGCTGGTTAAAAATGACATCAGGATTAGTCATAAATTGTGTAAAAATGCTTGTTATTGTCGCAGTTTGTTAATGGTTGTCAGCCTGGCTAATTCTTGTGTTCTCTTATTATATTGTATTCAGCAACAAGTTAGCAAAGAATTTCGTCGGCTTATTTCTCTCAATTATCATTGATTTCGTTATTAACGCTAGCTTAATATTGAGAACTGTAAAGAGGATGAGATAGATAGAGGTATGAGTAAGATTTAGAAGATTATTAGGTCTGGTTTAAGTTAATTTGCCGTGCAAAAAAAGCAAACACTTTTTGTTTTTAACAGATGCAATCGACCACCGACCTACAGATGCAAGGTCATGGAGCCCAAACAAATTTATTTCCAATGCACGGATTGCAGCATTCTAACTCACATCGAGGGACATTTGGATCAATATATAGTAACATTATACCGCCTCCTCCAACTCAACCTGCTCAAACCTCTCAAAATCTTGCTGACCAGTGGTATTATGAAGACCCAAAGGTAATTTTTTTATTGTTAAAGTGGTACAATTGTACGCTTAATTTCCTATACTGTTTTATATATATATATATGACTGCACTGAATGACGCTGCGGAAGCGTAAGGAATGCACACCGGCGTCACAAAGATAGGTTTTTGTTTTAGTCCTTCAGTAGCACAACAGTCTATCTAGACGTATACATAATTAAAGGCGATTCCGACTACAATTACGTAATAAGAACTACGGAGACAGCAATCTACCTATAAACATTATTACAGATATTAAATTTAAAATATTGACCGATATTATTTAACAATAATGCGCAGAAGTCGACTCTTCGCCTGTATAAAAGAGTATATCCTAACTTGTTTATCAACGCACAGCCCAAACCGCTACACATAGAAATCTAAAATCTGGACAGTAGCTACTTTTTAAAACTTAGGCATACACTAAAAAAGGGTTTTGGAAAATTCATTCCCTCAATGGGTGAAATATAGGGTGTTATTATTTGTATGAAACTTACTAAATGTATTCTGCAAAGAAAATAAACAGATTCTGATGTAGCAGTTGCCAGAGGACGTTCAAATGTGTATGGAGAAAAATGAATTAATGATTTTTTTTAATACTCTTAATATTAAAAATAATAATATTCACATTTTTAATGTATATTCTAAAACTTACCAATATTAGGGTCTTAAAATAAGGGTTGCAAGTTGTATTGAAAAATATTGATATGATGCAAAGCTCAAACTGTTGGAAGTAGAAGCATGCAATTGTGACAATATAGTTAGCTACCTTTTATAATGTAGGTATTGTTACGCGCTGAAGTCGACGGCACTAGCGCCATCTATTCTCGAACCGAAGAACTAAACTTCTTGAAGTTGAAACACGAACTCTCGGTACCTTGCGCGCGTTTACTTGAATAATCTGGATATTTCGCTGCTAATTTATATAAATAGGCGCTGCAAGATCCGATCGAGAAGTATTGGATTTGGCGAGACAAGCGAAGCTTCGGAGCGGAATAAAGTGAATTAGTGTGCTTAAAATAATTAAGCACACTAATTCACTACATCATACACTAAAGTAAAATTAAAGTGTTAATTTAGGTAATTCTATCGGCAATTTTTATTGTTACGAACCTCAAGCTCGTAACAGTATTAAGTAAGATAGAATTTTAAAAAAATATCCTCAGAGAGTGAAATAAGGTGTTACAGTTTGTATGACACTTTATATTTAACACTGTCATTATAATTTGTATGGTCAATAATTATTAAATGATTTTTGTAACTTGAAAATTTATACAATTATTTTAGGATTAAAATAATGAAATATGCATTTTTTTATTTTTTGAAAAGCAAAGCTTAAAGCGTTATTAAGGAGAAACACATGCACATTACACGCACACTGGTATATTATGATATTGTTGCGCGGCTAAGTTGACATCTGGCAATAGCGCCATCTAGTGTCGGGTAACAGAGCAAAGAGAGAGCTTTCCAGAAAATGACATCACTAATCTTTCAACCGACAGCGCCATCTACATAGTATCGAATTGAAGAACTAAGCTTTCTGGAAGCCCCAAACTCGAACTTTCTGCGCTTGGTCGGTTGGCGCGCGTATTTACTCGAATATTCTGGATCTTTTCGTCGAAGAGCCCTATATAAAGGCGCTGCAATACGCGGTCGGGGAAGTATTGAATTTGGCGAGACAAGCGAAGCTTCGGAGCGGAATAAAGTGAATTAGTGTGCTTAATTATTAGTGTTTTAAGTTTTAATTTGTGTAAAGAAAATTAAAGTGTTAATTTAGGTAATTCTATCGGGAATTTTTATTGTCACGAACCTCAAGCTCGTAACAATTGGTGTCAGAAGTGGGATAAAATCATGCCGATTTTACCTAAGGAAGAAACGGAGGGTGTCCGTACCCGAAATCAACGCCAGCAGGAGACAGACCAAAGAAGATTTGGTGGTGCAACGCCGCAGACGTCTGAAGGCCAGCCGCCTGCTGCAGGCCCGTCAGTAGCTCCTACATCTGCAGCACCTGACTTAGGCGTTCTGATGGCGATGCTGCAGGAACAGGCTCCCCGACAGGAGGAACAGGCCCGCCGACAGGAGGAACAGGCCCGCCGACAGGAGGAACAGGCCCGCCGACGGGAAGAACAGGCCCGCCGACAGGAAGAACAGATGCTCCTCATGAAGGACCTTCACGCTACCTTTGGGAAAGAGATAAGGGAGGTGAAGGATAGGGTTGCTCAACATGACAACCGCCTGTCGGAAGCTGAAACCCGAATCGAAGAACATGAAACCCGAATCAACCATGTGAACAATCGGGTTGACAATGTGATGGCTGACGTGAAGAAAACGCTGAACGATCTCAAACTTGGGGATGGAACTACAGCTCCCGTAGTAGCTACAGCACCTTCGCTACGTGGATTCAAAGTGCCGCCGTTCGACGGGACTTCTTCCTGGTCGGCCTACAAAATCCAGTTCGAGGCCGTCATGGAGGCAAACGGCTGAAATAAAAGCCAGGCCATGACTGCACTCACATTAGGCCTGCGCGACCAAGCCTTAACCGTGTTGGAAGCTCTCGGTAAGAAGGTGACCTAGGAGCAGCTCCTTGAGGCATTGGAGGCGAGATATGGTGACGTTCACCTGGAACATATCTTTCGCGCGCAGCTTAAAGATCGCGTGCAACGCAGCAACGAAAACCTGCAGCAGTGGGCCCTTGAGGTGGAGAAGCTGGTGCGAAAAGCATACCGGTCTGTACCTGCGCTCATTGAAGGGAACCTGGTGCAGACATTCATCGACGGCATCCGCGACCTGGAAGTCAGAGCTGCTGTGAGGCTCGGGCACCACGAGACGCTTAAGGATGCCTTGGCCCATGCACTGGAGGTGGAAGCCGTGCGGCAGGATCATCGTTCCCATCGCGTCAGGGAGGTTGCAGCAGCTACAGTTCGCGACCGCAACAGAGGATACATCCCAAGGTGCTATGGCTGTGGGGAAAAGGGCCATCTTCGATCCAGCTGCCCTAAGCGAACCCTAGAAAGGGAAGTTGAACGATCTCGAGAGGGTAGTGCAGCTAACGGCACCACCTGGCGGCAGCAGGATCATCGCTCCCCACACGCTAGGGAGGTTGCAGCAGTTACGGTTCGCGACCACAATAAAGGATACAGCCCTAGGTGCTATGGCTGTGGAGAAAGGGGCCATCTTCGATCCAGCTGCCCTAAGCGAACCCTAGAAAGGGAAGGTGAACGATCTCAGAAGGGAAGTGCGGCTAACATCACCGCCCAGCAGCAGCCGGGATACGAGTTTACTATCAGACATCGCAGCGGGAAATCTCATGGCAACGCAAATGCACTGTCAAGAAGACCTAGTCCTGAAGATTGCAAACATTGTACTAGGCAAGAGAGTAAGGAAGTGGTATCCGTGAGGATGCTCAGGGCAGACCACCTCAGCAACGAGTGGAAGGACAGCTTACAACGTGCACAGCAGGAAGAACCGGACATCAAGCCGATCCTGGAATGGATGAAGGCCAGTGCTCCCAAGCCCAAGTGGAGCGACGTCTCAGCGATGAGCTCGATTACTAAAAGCTATTGGGCCCAGTGGGACAGCTTGCTGCTTCAGGATGGAGTTCTGTGCCGTAAATGGGAAAATGTTCGGGGAGACAGCTGTCATTTGCAAATGGTTGTCCCTAAAGCTAAAGTACCGGATGTTCTACAGCTGTACCATAATGATTATTCAGGAGGCCATCTGGGAGTTAAACGAACTCTACTGAAGATCCGAGAACGGTTTTACTGGGTCCACTGTCGAAACGATGTCGAGGACTGGTGTCGCAAATGTAGAAGTTGTGCGGCTGTAAAGGGACCTCAGACTCGTAGTAGAGGTGCATTGAAGTTGTACAATGTTGGTGCACCATGGGAGAGAATAGCCATTGACGTGGCGGGACCGTTTCCGGAGAGTGAAAGCGGTAACAAATATTTCATGGTTGTGATGGATTACTTCACTAAGTGGCCAGAAGTCTTCGCCATTCCAAATCAAGAAGCTTCAACAGTTGCGGATAAGCTAGTTCATGAAGTCTTCTGTCGTTTTGGAGTACCTTTGGAGATTCACAGCGATCAAGGAAGGAATTTTGAGTCTCAAATATTCCAGGAAACTTGCCGAGTTATGGGTACTCACAAAACAAGAACGATTCTTATCACCCGCAATCCGATGGAATGGTAGAACGATTTAATCAGACATTGGAGAGGTACCTAGCAAAAGTTGTAGACGATCGGCAACGAGATTGGGACAAGCACATACAACCGTTTTTGTTGTCATATCGAAGCGCTGTTCACGAAAGTACAGCAGTGACACCAGCTTTCGCAAACTTTGGAAGAGAATTACGGCTGCCTGCAGACCTGATCACCGGGATACCACCTGATACCCCACGCAGTATAACCGATTATGCAAATGACTTGCGGAACAAAATGAATGACATTTATGAGCACGTCAGACAATCGGGCCAGCAAATGTCTGAGAAGATGAAAACCCGGTACGACCGCAAAATGAACAATAAAGGCTTCGACGAAGGTTCACTAGTGTGGTTGCACAATCCAGTCCGCAGCAAAGGGAAATCTCCTAAGCTTCAAGCTAAATGGGACGGCCCGTACCGGATTGTAACCAGGATCAACGATGTAACCTACCGGATACAGAAAGGCGCAAGAGGGACTCCTAAGATCGTCCATGTGGATCGCCTGGCGCGTTATTATGGGGCCGATAATGCTCGGGACGAGCATGTTTTAGGAGGGGGCAGTGTTGCGCGGCTAAGTTGACATCTGGCAATAGCGCCATGTAGTGTCGGGTAACAGAGCGAAGAGAGAGCTTTCCAGAAAATGACATCACTAATCTTTCAACCGACAACGCCATCTACTAGTATCGAATTGAAGAACTAAGCTTTCTGGAAGCCCCAAACTCGAACTTTCTGCGCTTGGTCGGTTGGCGCGCGTATTTACTCGAATATTCTGGAATATTCTGGATGTTTTCGTGGAAGAGCCCTATATAAAGGCGCTGCAATACGCGATCGGGGAAGTATTGAATTTGGCGAGACAAGCGAAGCTTCGGAGCGGAATAAAGTGAATTAGTGTGCTTAATTATTAGTGTTTTAAGTTTTAATTTGTGTAAAGAAAATTAAAGTATTTATTTACGTAATTCTATCGGCAATTTTTATTGTCACGAACCTCAAGCTCGTAACAATATTGTTCTCGCCCTAGTCACTCCATCACCAATCTATGCTATATTTATATCTATGATTGTAACAAAATATGTCTACTACATACAAGTTTTAAGTTGATTTTTTATTGTTTTGATATTAAGTTATCAGCACTTGGTTTAGCAAAGAGTAGTGCTCTAAAATTTTGATACATTTTTTGGAATTTCGAAATTTATGCATCAACATGAACTTTTGTAATTCCAGCACGTTACATAACTGTTAGTGAGTAAAATACTGTTATCAGATATTAGAAATTTATAAGTACATAAAATTAACAACAAAATGTAATTAACTTGTGGCGTTATATATCTAAAAAATAAAAATGAACAAATTAAAATTCAATAATAAATGATACACCATATGTATGAACTGTTCTCTTTACATTAAACTTCAGTGAGTTGTTTATAAAGATGTTTCCATACATCATTACAAAGTTGTTAAATAGAAAGTCGTAATTGCAATAGTTTTTTTTTAGTGAATCTTACTCTAGTATATTATATCATAGTGTTTTGTCTTGTTGTGGATTAGGTAGCTTGTGCAAGGTTTGTATGTGTCGGCTAGGACATAACTTCTTACGATATCTAGGTAAGCATTCAATTTGAGTTTTCAAATAATTGTTAAATTGTTGCAGAAAATCATTCAAGGACCTTTTTCTTCAAAGGAGATGTACAACTGGTACAGAGCAGGCTTCTTTAGCCCAAGTCTAATGGTACGCAGAGCGTGCGATACGCATATGCGCCCACTTGGTTCCTACGGCCCTATGGTACCCTTTGCTCAAATCGTAAGTATATATAAGCTTTATCATTAGTTTAACCAAAAACAGTCACGTATTATGTTAAATTTTTAACGACGGCTTGGTCATATATTTATCCACATATACATGTATTTACACATATTCCTTAAAGTTTCAAAATAGTAATAGAATAAAATAACCATACCCCTGATATAAAACACGCAAGGTGTATGGGTTGAATATAATATTTTCTGCAGGACATGCTATCACCATTCCCGATGTCCAGCGGTTTCGAAACCCGCTTTCAGGGGCCGCATGATTTACTAAATCAACAACAAAGACTCGGATTGGATGTAAGTGAAAGGCAGATTTATAACATCATAGGCTGTCTGATAACGATCGAAAAAAAGTTGTATATCAAAAGTTAAAACTTGTTTATTATTTTCATTATTTTGGGTACTGACTAGAATTGGTTTCTTTTCAACCATGAAAAGGGCGTGTATACATCTATTATAGAGCAACTGTATTTAAAGTTACGTAAATTTAGGTTTTTTTGTAAATATCGTGGGTGGTCTGAAAAGTTTCCGACCTAACAAACATATAAGATATTTTTTCCAAAAATTTAACTTTTTTTCTACATAGTCTCGTTTTCAGCGATGCTTCCATCTCTAAGATGTCCAAATAGTACTCGGCGTTTTTCTCTGCAAAATAATTGTTCACGAAGTTGATTGCCTTCTCATTTGACGAAAATCACTGTCATCCGAATGCAAATTTTAGATGAGGGAACAAAAAGTAGTCGCTTGAGGCTAGATCTGGTAAGTTCGACGATCAAGCAGTTTAAACCGTAATTCATGAATTTTCCATTGCCACCGCTGAAATGTGGAGACAGCGCGTTGTAATGATGAAACAGGATTTTCTTTTTCTCTAAATGTGGCCATTTTTCCCGCAATTTCTGCCTTCAGTTTGCTTAGTATTGATGCATAGTATGCTCCTGTAATGTTCCTTTTTGAAGATAATCGATTAAGAGAACTCCATGACTATCCCAAAAAATACTCGCCATCACTTTCTCAGCCGAACAAGTTTTTTTTTTTTTGGAGCCGGTTCCCCTTTAACAGTCCAATGTTTTTAAAATGTCACTGTGGTAAACACGGTGTAGAGTGCCCAAACACAGAGTTCAAATCATCTTTGATTTGCGTAGGCGTATTGCCTTTCGAAAACAAAAATTTTATTACAGTTAGATACTCAATTTTTTCCATTTTCACAAAAAACATCCACATCGTCTCACTCAAACGGCTGTCAAAGATCAACTACGCGTCCAAAATATCTGAAAATTTGCTGCGTAACTGTCAAAAGTTGCAAAACTACATTCACTAGGTTTTATTGACGAGTGCTATCTATCATTTTCTTCACATTGAGGTCGGAAACTTCTCAGACCATTCATCTATTCCATCAGACCAGGCTCTGGTAGTGCGTTCTTTATACGATTATCGTTTTAATTACCGCATGAATGACAGTTACAGTTACTTATGTTAGGAATTTTTCCGGAAAAATTAAAATCTGTGTAATTTTTCAAAATACTTTTTCAGAATAGACGAACTTTAATTTTTTTAAACTTATTGGAAAATTATCCAATTGCATTTAATGTTTGTTAAGCAAAATTAAAGCACAAATTCATATGCCGATACCGATACCGATATATCGACTTAAATGTAGATTACAAGGTTGTGCGCGTAGTATATATACAATGTGTCCGGTTTCCGATGTCCGATACTTTAAGGGGTTAAAATACAATTAATTTTATCGACAGATCAGGGATCAATGATTTTTTTTCGCCATCAATAAAAAAATGGCAGCACTTTAAAAAAAATTGTTGGCGAAGCATAGATGCTTGTATTAATTTAACAATATCTACCCAAGTAGAAGACTTTCAAAAACAAAATTGGTCTCAAATGTTAGTTAATAGTGTAGACAATAAATCTAGATTCAAAATATTATTTTTTAATTTTTCAGTATTAGTAAAAAACATTTTTGAAAAAATAAATTAGACAACAAAATGATGTTGTTTTTCAGATTCTTAGCTTTAAAAAAAACCCATCGTGTTAACCAATTTTTTTTACTTGTTTTTAATATAATACAGGATATTTGCTATAAATGCACATTTAAATCTTAACTCTGAGTTAGATAGTTTAGGAGCTATGATAATTTGAATGTAACTGTTCAAAGTGCCTCTACCCCGATATTAGATAACTAAACACCCATTCCAGTGAGTAAGATAAAATTCTTCAATAATTCAAGGAATCGTAAGCAAGCACAATAGCATCCTTTGTGTGAGCAGGTAAAAAACGCTGTGCACAACAGTGCGAGCGAGACAGAATAACGGCTGTCTCCAGGTAAAAAAGGGTGCAGTGTGCGCTTGTGCCGTCGAGCAGTCGTCCCTCGCTCTGCGTTGTGATAACATCCCTGGTTTTAAGTAAATCTACTTACTGTACATAATTATCGTTTGTTGTTAGACTTTGTTACGTTTTTGTTTTGTTGTTGAACTGTTACTTTTTGTTTATTACAATGAACGAGTACTCAAGCCAGCATATCGCTGACATCCATTTCGTGTATGGATTGTGTAACGGGAGTGCAAATAGAGCTGTTGTAGAGTATGCACGCAGATTTCCTAACCGACGTACGCCGAATGCTCGCACTTTCGTGAGAATTCATTTGAGACTTGCGGAAAATGGAATAAGAAGGCTCGGTAACGAACGTACTCGTGTTTTGTCGCTCTAAGATGAACATCAAATATTGCAAATGATTACTCAAGACCCTAGCCTGAGCATTAGACGCATAGCTAATCGTCTCAGTCTATCAAAATGGTCGGTGTGGAAAATTTTAAAAAGAGAAGGATTACATCCTTACCATTTTCGAAGGGTGCAAGAAATACTGGAACCGGATTATGTAAGAAGAGCAATATTTTGTTCGTGGATATAGAGAGAAACGCGATATGATCCAAACTTTTTAAAAAGAATTATGTGGACAGACGAAGCTACTTTCACGCGATCAGGGTATACGAACTGCCGTAACGAACACCTGTGGCTTCAAGAAAATCCACATCCGATCCGCCCAAGTTCTTTTCAACATAAATTTTCTGTCAACGTTTGGGCCGGAATGATTGACGATATTCTAATTGGACCAATCATTTTACCGGAGACAATGAATAGCCCAAGATTCCTAAATTTCCTGGAAACGAATTTTTTGGATGCTTTATTGGAGTTACCATTGGCCTACAGGGCCAGAATGATTCTGCAATTGGATGGTGCTCCGGCACACTTCGCGCTTCTTGTGCGGAATCATTTAAATGCACACTGTTCGTCGTGGATCGGACGCGGAGGAACAATTGCTTGGCCACCGCGGTCGCCGGATTTAACACCTCTCGATTTTTTTTGTGGGGCACACTCAAACGAAGAGTGTATGTAAATGTGCCAAATACACGAGAGGAGTTAGCAGAAAAAATAATTCAAGCAGCAAACGAATTGCGAGAAGACAAGGCAATGATCCAGCGCTCTACGCAACACGTTGCACTAAGAGCAACAGCATGTCTGCAGAGACAAGGAGGTCACTTTGAGCAGTTTTTGTAATTATTTTGCCAAATTAAATGCAATTGATATAAATTATTTTGTTTTATTTCATTTGCTAGTGTATCCGCGCTTTTCAAGTAAGTATGTTTACACTGTCATAGCTCCTAAACTATCTAACTCAGAGTTAAGATTTAAATGTGCATTTATAGCAAATATCCTGTATTATAATAAAAACAAGTAAAAAAATTGGTTAACACGATGGTTTTTTTTAAAGCTAAGAATCTGAAAAACAACATCAATTTGTTGTCTAATTTATTTTTTCAAAAATGTTTTTTACTAATACTGAAAAATTAAAAAATAATATTTTGAATCTAGATTTATTGTCTACACTATTAACTAACATTTGAGACCAATTTTGTTTTTGAAAGTCTTCTACTTGGGTAGATATTGTTAAATTAATACAAGCATCTATGCTTCGCCAACAATTTTTTTTAAAGTGCTGCCATTTTTTTATTGATGGCGAAAAAAAATCATTGATCCCTGATCTGTCGATAAAATTAATTGTATTTTAACCCCTTAAAGTATCGGACATCGGAAACCGGACACATTGTATATTTGTACATTAGGAGATTGTCTCTAACTATGAAGTTATTTGACGCAGGTCGTCAAAATAACTTAAGTTTCCATTCACAGATTTTATAAAAAGAAAATGAGCAGGTTACATAATAACTTTTTAATTCCAACTGACCCTGTTTCTTTACGAATCGAGAAATTAAACCAACTGAGAATACAATACTAAATGTCTGAAATCGCTAAAAAGTTTTCCTATATATTTCATAGTAAATCATCGTGGCTTTGATAACCATATACAACGTAAACCTAATTATAATATTATTAACAAACAAAAATAATAATGTGATGTATATTTATTATTTAAATAAGAATACAAAACAAAGCTTTGAAATTTAATAGTCCGATATCAGTTTGTACTACACGATATGACGTGCTAAATCGTGGGTGCGTTCGTGTCTATGCGTGTGCGAACTGCGAATGGGCCTTATAATGGTTGTTATTTTATGAATGCATATGTTTAATCTCTTGTGTACCGACGCGACAGGGCAACAGCCAGTAATGTACCTGTATTAATTTTATACATAATTGTTGTAAGCATATCTCTCGGTTCTTGAATATTATCGTTTATTTTTATTTTTCTAGACTTTATTTTACACATAGCCCGACAAAAAAACAAAAAGACATAAAATACACACATATGTTCATATCCACCGTGTCCCGATAAACTAGCCTAGGATTGAAATTAAGTTATGCAAATTTCACAAATTGGATGATAAGAAAACTGACTGATAAAGCAACAGCTATTGTAGTCTTCTTTGCTTAGTGCCCAATATTGTCTTAATGGTCTATTATGTTTTTATGTGCAGCGGCATTGGCAACGATATTCGTAATGTAAAAATAAGTGATATGAATAATATATAACTTGAGGCTACGCGAGATGCTACGCGATCTTTATTACGAGACCACATTCTTTATTATTTATTTTTGATAACATGAATTCTTACTCTATACTATTATATAAATAATAGTGTTTTATTTATGTCTTACTTATTCTGGATTACGTAGTAGGTGCAAGGTTTGTGTATATGCCCTGCTAGGATATGGCTTTTTACGATACCTAGGTATGCATTCAATTTGAGTTTTTGAGCAATAGTTAAATTGTTGTATAAAATCATCCAAGCGCCTTTTTCTTCAAAGGAGATGTATGTGCTGTAAAC